CAGACGACAAGCTCGCGCACGTTCAAAAAACGTACGGTGCCGACTATACCATCAATTACAAATCGACTCCTGCTTGGTCTCAGGAGGTGCTCAAGATCACCAATGGCCACGGTGCAGATTTCATTCTCGAGAACGGCGGAGCTGGAACGATCGGTCAAAGCATTGATGCAGTGGCTTACGGCGGAAACATTGCTGTGATAGGGTTCCTTGCCTCCTGTCCCCAGGAGAAGATGCCTGACGTGGCAGCACTTGCCCTATCGAAGGGTGCAATCGTCCGCGGCATCATGGTTGGATCTAAGCAACAGCTGGAAGATGTCACACGCTTCGTGACTTCCAAGAACCTCAATGTGCCCGTAGAGAAGGTGTTTGGCTTTGGGAGGGATGAGGTCGTTTCTGCCTTTGAGCATTTGGTGTCAGGTCAACACATCGGCAAGGTGTGCATTGCTGTAAACTAAGGTAGCTACCCTTGAGGTGACAGTCCAGCAGCAATCTGTTTCCCTCTGGCCTCGTCTAGAAGATTCGCTATTTCCTTGTCAACCAGGTCGAATTCTCTTTCAACGAGACCCTTGCGCTCCTCTGACCTCGGCTCAAAGACAGCAACAAAAGGTTTTGGGCCTGATACAAACCCCGTTGTAAACATGTCTTCCGATACGTTGATCCTCGCGCCATCTTTAGAGCGTATATTGAACGCCCAAAGCAGCCGTGCCATCGCTATTGCTAGCGAGTTCCGTGCGATGAACCGTCCAGGACAAACTCTTCGGCCGTATCCAAAGTTGGCAGGCTGAGACTTTTCGATCCATCGTTCAGGCCGGAACACTTCTGGTGAGTCATATGTGCGGGAGTTCTGGCGCATGGCGGCGAACACGGGAACTACAACTGAACCCTTGGGTATCAGATAGCCTTTGTAAAAGTCCTCCTGGGTCGTGGCATGCGGAATCCCAGCTGGCACAATGTGCCGCCATCTAAAGTTTTCCTCTACCACAGCCTGAAGATACGGCAGGTTGTGAAGATCTTCGAATCCAGGAAGACGATTAGTACCGACGACTTCGTCGAGCTCTTTTTGCGCGGCGGCAATCCAATCCGGGTAGGCTACGCACGCCAAAATGAAAATCTGCAGTTGAACTTGTGTAGTTTCGACGCCAGCATCACACAGGATACCAAGGTCCCATGCTATCTCTGTCGCAGCGAGATCTTTTGCCTCCTTTGACTTGTTGAATTCCTTGGCCCAGTTCCATCCCTTGCGCTTAAGCGCGTCTTGCATGTTGGCCATGTGGAGATTTTCCCACATCTGGTACCACGCCTCAGCCGTTTTCTTCCATGGCGTCAATGGTGCTGGGAGGCGGTTGAGAGACGGGAAGAGATCGACTATCCACGCGCCCACCTGACCGGCAATAGTAAAGTTCTTAAGACACTCGTGACTGGTCTGAAGTTGCCATTCGTCGCCGGTGATGATGCGCATACCGAAGGTGATGGAATATACGATGCTCGCCGCAAAACGCTCAAACTCCTTGGGGAAGTCGTTTGATTGAAGAAGGTTCTTCAAGAGCTGTTTGCTCTCTAGGTCCTGGATTGCCGTGTAACAGGCTGAAGCACGCGGGCTGAGCACAGGAGCTTCTAGTCGTTGGTGCAAGAGAAAGTCACTATCGAATGGCTTGAACATTATGTGCTTGCTCTTGCACGTCAACTCTTGTGCCATGACCTTGGAATATATCAGGTCGCTATTACAGCTGTCGGCAGAATGGACTTGTGACTTACCATGCGGGGCCGACTACTGTAGATCATTGCCTTCTTGTCGAGCAGATCTTTGGCCACCTCGTGGTCTCCAATCAATATCACATTCGTGCCGCCGAAATTGAGGTACACAAGAGGACCATACTGTTCCACCCATCTCTGGTATGTAACCCAGACTGCTTCTTTGGGAGCCTGGTGTAAGTTGCCGATAATGGGCAAACGAGGCGGTCCCGGAGGTAAATTCGAGTCTCGTCGTCTACGGAGCCAGAGGTACAATATTGCCAACAGACTGACAACGAATAGAACTGTTGGTGATAATGTGGCCATTGTGACTAGGTTGGAGTGGTCTATGTCCAGGAATTCCAAGCATGAGGGAAGACGTTGTTTATCAGAAGATGCGATACAAGGCGATAACAGGGCATGTTTCGAGCTTTCGGTGCCTCGTCTCATGCGAGCTTCGATACATAGGTACGTCGCGCTTCCTGAATTTGAGTGGGGAGGACCACGGCCCGTCCCTTGTCACAGCCAATGACAGTGCGTAGGCTACTGGGTTAATACGAGCATGCCCCGGTAGCGTCGTGTAGGATTGCGGCACAGCTTGAGCCGACAAATCATGAACGCTCATGAGACGCTTCTGCAGGACTTTCGGCAAGTCGGAAACGATCCTATGGTCGTATGTGAAAGAAAGGGTAGCTGTAGAGGTATGTAATGGCGATAAATGGCTAGCGAAAGACAATTACTGCGTGTGATGGTTCCAAACATCAAGGCAACTCCTGCCCCGCCCTCCCGTCCATCTCGTATCTCGCCCTCTCTTGTTCCAACTCAGTACGCCCATCTGACGGTGCTTCATGCGCGTAGTACTCCGTGTTCGGGCCCTTCCCACCCGCCTGAGTCTGTTGCATTGAGGTGTTCCTAGATGGTTCTTGTGCCAGACCCTTGCCCTGTAGTGCTCTTCTCTTCTTGCGCTCGCGAAAGAAGAGCCAAGCGAGCAACGCAATGATGATTATAGCAGCAGTTGCGCCGACGCCGATGCCTGCTCCTGCGCCCGCCGATATACCACCGCTCGACGATACATCGGATTGATCTGTGGTATTGGTTGCTGTTGGAGACGGCGCGCTGGTGGGTGTAGAGGCTGCTGCACTACCGTCCGGGGACGCGGGTGTACTTTGTGAATTGGTTGAGGTTGTCGCTTCTGATACTGCGACGCCTTGTGAGGCAGTGGCCGTACTCAAGCTGGCTAGTATACCTGAGCTATCGACCTTCCACCACATTGGCGTCTTTGTCGCGTCGGAATCCTTGTCTTGTGCGTCGCTTACTTTGCCTGCAGAGTTAGGGGTACGAAGTAAGTATGTGTCTCACATGCACTTCGTAGAGGCAAGACTTACCTGTCAGCGGGTTGACATAGCGCAGTTGAGATAGCCCGTCTGTGCAACAGCGATCATTCCCATAACACACGACGTTCTCTCCGCATGATATCAGTCCTATCCCTTGCCAATCTTGTTCTAGAAAGTCCTCTTAATAGTGTTCTGTATGAAGACTTAGACTGTATGGACTCACCGGGAAACAAGTCACTACAGCCCGTCCAGTTCTTCTCGGCGCAATATTGCCGGCCAATGTTTCCTGATCTTGTACACAGCAAGTTGCTGCCGCAACTTTCGCTCCATAAGCAACAATTGTTCGTGCCTTTGCCACATGAGACTAATTCATCGCTAGTCGGATTGTTAGATTGGAAAGTCTCGCCTATGAGAAGCGCACGTTAGCAATAGACAGAAGGGCCTATGATGGCAAGACACTTTTGGTTCGGAAAAACGGATGCATACGCACCATCGCGTGAGTAGCAATCGGCCCAAACGCCTACTGCCAAAGTGAAGAATATCACCCGCTGTAGAAGGCACACACGCATCGCAACGTATAAGGAAGTTAGACGACGAGGACGGCAAGGAGAAGGACGACGAAGAAAGGCGAATGGACTCGTCAGGTATTCAATTAAATAAGACAGACCGATGTGGGCAACCCGTGTCACAGCCCTACGCAGGGCGTAATTGTAAGATTCGGAATAGCGCTTAGGTTTGGCCCCCAGATCCATTTACCCACCCAAGTAGAATCGTCTAATTTAGGATTCAGCCATGCTGATCTGTGCCAACAATAAGACGATGCCGTGCCGGAAACAAAGGTGTTCCCTGAGTGTATCGCGCCACGGCACAAGAGACTCGGGTGGGATGAAGTCCCGGGTACGCAATGAGAAGTGCGCTGTTGTGGCGCGTTAGAAGGGCAGATGACTGCAGATTAGCGAATTGTTGGTCCTGATCGTACAAGCTGCCCAATAGAATGAGATCGTACGAGCCGCCCAATAGAATAAGACAAGTAAATGAAATGGTACCGATCGAAATCTGACGCGAGAACATACGTGATCATCCATGCGAAGCTTGAAAGAAGTCTTATCTTTCCCGACAATGTTCGTGGCCAACACTGTATAAAGCGATAGGAGACGTACGGAACTCTCGAAAGACGTGATTCAGATGCCGGAATGTATACATCACCGCACCCGATACAAGACTGAGCATCAGCAGGGGTGGCCAAAATTCGTGTCGCATTTGCGTTTTGCTGTATGTACACTACTAAAGCTTAACACGCATATAGGTTCTCAAATGGGTTATACTTCAACCTCAGACATTTGTATAATGTGACACGAGTAGTGGCCACCTCTGTTCGTATTCCAAGGCGAGTGGTAGTGGGGGTGCGTTATGCGAAAGGGCTTCGCATCTGTCAAGGAATAACACAAGTAGAGAATTTGCCATGCGGTTACAGTCCCATTAGAAGGCTAAGTCGGTGTTTGAGATGCCTCCGAATTGTTCTGTATCAGTTGTGCGACATGTAAGACACACAAGGAGAGAAGGAGCTATGGACCAGTGGGAGCCAGTCAGCGTGTGGCTGAATAATCCGACAAACGTCATATTTCGTTTGGCCCGAGTTCCCGAACTTTCAATCACGAACCTACATACCTCGCCATTGCGACTACACCACCCTACCCACCAAACATACCATCCACACCTATACAAAAGATGGCCTCAAGCACAATCCCACGTTCGGCCATGCGCAGTCTATCCCGTGCGACACCTTCTCTACGCTCCGCAACACCGCGCATCGCCACGAGATGTCTGCACCAGCAATCATCGCCCATCACAGCCTCGAGACTGCAACATAGACCAACAGCACAGCCATGGAGCCAAAGAGTAGCAGCCCCATCAGCGACAGTCGCGCGACGAACCATGTTCATCCAAACCGAGCCCACACCCAACGCCGATGTACGCCCCCCCTCCTACTCCAACCCCACCCCATACTAACTCCCCCAGGCCCTAAAGTTCAACCCCAACCAGCGCGTCCTCCCCGAAACAATCTCCTCACCCTTCCTCGAGTACCTGAACCCACGCTCCACACTCGCGCCACCGCACCCCTCCCCGCTCGCTGCGCAACTCCTCAACATCGACGGCGTAACCAGCGTCTTCTTCGGCGCCGACTACATCACCGTAACCAAAGACACATCCACGCCCTGGTCGCACGTGAAGCCCGAAGTCTTCGCCCTCATCAACGAATACATGACGTCCGGCCAACCCATCGTCAACACCGTCGCCTCCAAGCCCGGCGAGCAAGGCCAAGGCGGCCAAGAAGCCGATTCATTGGCCTACGACGAAAACGACGACGAAGTCATCGGCATGATCAAAGAGTTGCTGGATACCCGCGTCCGCCCCGCGATCCAGGAAGACGGCGGCGACATTGAGTTCCGCGGCTTCAACGACGGACAAGTCATGTTGAAGCTGAGGGGCGCGTGCCGGACCTGCGATTCTAGTACCGTGACGCTCAAGAACGGGATTGAGAGCATGTTGATGCATTATATCGAGGAGGTCAAGGGCGTGCAGCAGGTGCTGGACCAGGAGGAGGAGATTGCGTTGCAGGAGTTTGCCAAGTTCGAGGAGAAGCTTCGCCAGCAGAAGGGGCCGGAGGCGACGAAGGGGACTGTCGGGAAGGGAAGTCTGGATTATGTGGAGTAGGATGGGGAAGGAGGTTGTTAAGAGAGGACTGGACATTGACCATGTGATACCAATGCATTCATTCTGCTGTTGTTCGGCGTCTGCGATGGGACGTGTAGTGTGAAGTTGCAGCCAAGTTTAGACTTTTGCAAACGGTGCGGTATATCCACCGGGGTATGCAATGGATCACTTATCCAAGTATCATGAGATCATATCATAGGATTCAGTATATAAGAGTAGCGATTCGCAAGTGAACCAAGTATACTACAGAAAAAACAACAACAAAAAGAAACAGTAAGTCATGCTATGCCAACCGATCAACGTTAAATGGGTATCCAGAACGTACCAATGCTGTTGCGTCAAAGGAAGAAACCAGAGAACGAAAAAGGACAACGCCACTCATATGCTCAAAATACAGCGTAAAGCCATTCCACGACCGTTCGTAATCCAAAATGCAACCACCTCCTCTTTCACATGCAAAAACCCACTCTTCATCCTTCATCATTCATGTGCTCCGACAACGGCCGTAAATCATTGTAAATCTCAATGTAACATCCAAGTGCGTGATTCTAAGATCGTCGTTATAATCGTCAAATGCAGTGTCGGTCGTAGGCAAATGTTCGTAGCGCAAATCGTTCAAATCATTCTTCCAAGAGCAGATTCGAAACAGCATCCAGCGCCTCGCCCATGGAGCCCCAAAAGCTACGTCGGGGAGGCGATCTGATGATAGTGATAACCTTCCGCTTGGGCGATGACGGCTCTTCGGTAATGAGAGTGTCCACGGTATCGCGTAGTATCTTGGAGTATTCTTCGTGAATCTCTCGGGATAGGTCTTCTTCCTCGACGAGCGTCATACAGCTGTCTAGCATCCCGAGCTCTTTCGCTGTGTCGTTGTTATCGTGAACCTCGTCATCTTCCGGTAGCGCCTCGCTCTTTGCGCCGAAATCCGACCAGACAGATTTCGCAAGATCGTCATGATGGTAGCTCTTGTCCAGCTCCTCGCGCATGGATTGGCGGACGGTCCTCATCTGCTTGCGCAAATCGTTGATGATGTCGGTTTGGATGCGGTTCAGTGTTTTGAACTCGTCCATGCGCGTCTTGAGGTCGTAGATGTACTTTTGCACGCCCGCGATGTAGTTGCCTACTTGCGAAACATAAGCTTCGTGGTGCAACGTTTTGGCTTCAAGTTGCTGTTGCTCACCCTCTGCTTGTGTGATGATGGCGAGTTCCTGACTGGAGTCGGAGGAGGGCTTGTCGTCGTGTGTCGCTTCGGTTTGGGAGGCGCTGGGTGAGGAGAGGTGCGCGGTCATGGCTTCGAATTGTCCGACGATGTACTCCATTTGCTCTTCGTCGGGGTGGTGTGTCTGGATGAGGTTCTCGAAGTGCGCTATGCAGGATGAGAGCGCGTTCTGTACGGGCGATGAGGATGTCTCCGAGTCGTCGTCCCATGGTGTCGGTGAGGCGGGGAGTTCGGTATTGTTTCGACGTAGTATGCGTGAACTATCAGGAGTGTAGGGATAGCGCGGTTCGCCTTCAGTACGCGAATGCGATGAATCGTCATAATATGGTCGCGTAGGTGTGTATGGCGCTGGTTCGGTAAGTCGTGAGCTGGGTTTCGGTCGCGGTCCTGTCGCAGGTGTGTTCAACCCGAAGCTATCTGTGACCCAAGAAGGATGGTCAGGCGACCGACTGGCCTCTTTCAGCCAGCGCTGTTCGGTCGCGATAGGATATCGTGGAGGAGAAGTACCGTAGATGTTGAAGTAGTCTGCCTTGTCTTCGAGTTCCGGAGGGGTCCATGGCCGGTCTAGGGTGCGAGGAATGTCCATTGCGCTTTCGTGGCCGCGCGATGGCCACATCCTCCTCTTGGCTTCCAAAACAATGCGCGTGCAGTCCAAAGGCTCTCAAGGGTAGGAATACAGCTCCAACTGCGATGCGCTCTGGTGTTGAAGAGAGCGGACACCTGCGTAAGCGCGGCAGACGGGAGAAGGCTGGTCACCGCCTGTGACGTGCGTGCATCGCCGAGGCCTGCGGAGATCTAGTGCGCCAAGGAATTCGCTATCGATAACATTTTGTGGCCCCTCCGATTGGCCCGAGAATCATCAATTCTGGCTTCAATACACATAACGAGGACTGTATTTCACAGGTTCTTCTGTTTTCACCGCTTATCAGACGCTTTATAGACACATATCTCACTCTATACAAAGATGGCGTCACAGGTATGTCCATGACTCCACACACGGCTGGCTACAGAACTGAGCGCATGACCACTTAGCTAGGCGTTCAGCCATCGCTTGACACCATTCGAGAGGTATTGGCTGCAGCAGTCAAGTCGCCCAACCCACCAAACCTCGTGCCCGTCTTCTCCTCGATACCCGCCGAGTTCTTGACCCCGTCAAGCATATACCTGAAGATATCCGCAAAGTGAGTGTGACTCATTTCATGCGCAAGTGGACTGGAGGGGTTGTGTCGTGTCGAAGAAATGCTGTCAGAAACGACTGTCAAAAGAGGGCGGAGTTGGATCGATTGCGCACATGCTAATCGTGGGGGTCAGATCCAAGTCAAGACTATCCTTCCTATTCGAGAGTGCTGCGACAACCGAAACCATTGGACGGTATAGCTTCATTGGCGCAGGTCGGTACTTGAACAAACTTCCGGCATACACAGCTGACAAGCTTCAGACCCTCGCAAAGTCATCAAGACCGGCCCGGGCCATGGCGAAGAAACCGATCCACTACCCCTCCTCGAGAAGGAACTCGCGAAGAGCCGCGTCGCGACCGTACCCTCGATACAACTACCTCCTATGACCGGCGGCGCGGTGGGATATGTTGGCTATGATTGCGTCAAGTACTTCGAGCCCAAGACACGGCGAGATGACATGAAGGATGTGCTGGGTGTACCAGAGAGCTTCTTCATGCTCTTCGATACCCTGGTGGCTCTGGACCATTTCGCGCAGGTCGTAAAGGTCATAACGTACGTCAAGGTCCCAGACAGCATGGACGACCTAGAACAAGCGTACGAGGAAGCGAAGAGTACACTAAAGAGGTATATGACGATACTCAAGGACAAGGACATCCCGCTACCGGAACAAGGGCCTATACAGCTAGGCCATCAGTACACATCGAACATTGGCCAGGAGGGGTACGAGAACCACGTCAAGACATTGAAGAAGCACATTGGTGTCGGCGACATCATTCAGGCAGTACCTTCGCAACGGTTTGCAAGACCGACATCATTGCACCCCTTCAACGTGTACCGGAACCTCCGCAACGTCAACCCCTCGCCGTACCTCTTCTTCGTCGACTGTGACGATTTTCAGATAGTGGGGGCAAGTCCCGAGCTGCTGGTAAAAGAGGAGCAGGGTCGCATCATCACGCACCCCATTGCCGGCACAGTGAAGCGGGGCAAGACACTGCAAGAAGATGCAGCACTCGCAGACGAATTGTCCAACTCGCTCAAGGACCGGGCCGAACATGTGGGTTGCCTGACATCAAAGTGCATGCAGCGACGTTGGAAGCTTACATTGTGCTGTACAGGTTATGTTGGTCGACTTGGCTCGCAATGACGTCAATCGCGTGTGCGACCCACTTTCGACACGAGTTGACAAGCTAATGGTTGTCCAAAAGGTGAGCCGTCCGAACCGTGATTACCGTGGATCATGCGATGAGCTACCGTGCGATGATATCAAGCGAGCGCTATGATATCAAACTGAGGGCTATGCTAACTGCAATCAAAACCAGTTTTCCCACGTGCAGCACCTGGTCTCGGAGGTGTCCGGGGTGCTGCGACCTGGCAAGACACGATTCGACGCGTTCCGCTCCATCTTCCCAGCTGGTAGGTAGCGCGTTGAAAAAGTTGGAAATGTCGCTAACCGGCAACAGGCACGGTGAGCGGTGCGCCCAAGGTGCGTGCTATGGAGCTCATTGCTGAGCTGGAGCGGGAAAAACGCGGTGTATATGCTGGCGCGGTGGGATACTTTGGCTACGGCAGTATTGATGGCGACAAGGAGATTGAAGGTGCCATGGACGTGAGTAGTCTTGCCTTGTTCCAGGTTGACAGGAGGCTGATTTTTGCAGACATGCATTGCGCTAAGAACCATGCTTGTCAAAGATGGCATCGCGTATCTCCAAGCAGGGGTAAGTTTAACGAATTCCCTGCTTTAGCTGCAAGACACGAGACTAATGATTGGCTGCAGGGCGGCATAGTTTTCGACTCGGACCCCTACGATGAGTGGATGGAGACGATCAATAAGTTGGGTGAGCTTAATTATTCCTTTTGTCGTCTTCCCCGAGTCAAACGCACAGAGCTGACCGCTGTTTGGTAGGCGCGAACACGCACTGCATCACCTCAGCTGAAGAGAAGCATCTGGCCGAGCAGCAGGAGGCGGGCGAAGGGGACAGAGACGGGTCGGCGCCGAAGCTGGAGGGCGATGCAGAGGCGCGGATTACTCTTGCGGCTTGATGCTGCGGCTTGATAGACTGCGACATGCGCCACAGGTGGTATTTGCCGTAGGGTGGGTGGGTGATTGGCAGCTGTTGGCCCGGTGAAGAGCGATCTATGGGCCTGGATCTCATCCAGCCCCCCTGCACTCGTGGGGAAGCGAGATTCGTGGGTTCTTGGTAGCTTTGTGAAACGGAAATGAAAGGGCGGGTAAGCACCAAGCGGCAGCCGCTATCTCGACGTCACGACGACTGGTAGTGCTTGAATGCACACAAGATTTGATTAATTTGGTAGCCCGTCACACCAGCGCGAAGGCCGATTGTGCGCAGCGGCGGTCGAGTTCGGGCAGGATGCTGTGTGAAAGCGTGACTGTGGAGCTGGAAGGCATGACGAAGGTGACGGAGCGGATACCACAGTCGAGCGAGTCGCGACGAGAAAGCTGGTTCGACATGTGAGTTGTACATGCAGCTTCGGATATCGGCCCTGGGGTGTGGTTGGCGTGGCTACATCATAAGGTAGGAGCGCTGGACGCATTGGCCAATGGGCGCGCAGGGGACCGGTCGTGCATTCCGAGTTTCCCTGCTCTGGCGGCGATCGTGGAGTCTCTGTGCCTGGGCTTGGCTGCTGCTCCCTGCTCGCGCTAGTTCCGCTACTGACGCGCCAACCCGTCACCCAGCCCGTTGCAGCCTCCTGTTTGCGCGCAACTTCACTAACCAGCCACGGCCCAGCCCCGACTGTTTGTGTTCTTACGATATAAACCCGCTCGAGCTGCCCTCTCTTCCAATTCCTCATCCAGCATCCTCAACCTCAGCACCTCTCAACTCACCTTGACTCACCCTCACTTCGATACCTAGTATCCTACTTCAATATCCTCTTCACCAAAAACTCTCTCTCCCACCCACAGTCAAGATGAGGTCTTACGCCGTTCTCGCTGCCACCTTCGCCGGTGCTGCTCTTGCCCAGGACATGCCCATGCCCAGCGGTGAATGCGCCGTAAGTGTCCCCACTGCCATTGACTATCCCGGCCAATGCTAACCGTCGCTTAGAACCTGTGCATCAACAACATGGCCACCATTGCCCAGACCGAGTTCCAGTGCGAGAGCTCCGACATCAGCTGCTTCTGCACCCAGTCCAACTGGGCTTACGGTATCCGCGACTGCACCCGCCAGGCCTGCGACGCCGACCAGTCTGCTTCCGCCGTTCAGTGGGCCTACGCTCGCTGCGCTGGTGTCGCTGCCACTGGCTCTGGTACCCCCGCTGCTCTTCCCATCTTGACCTCAGCCGTCGCTAGTGCCACCGCTGTCCAGTCTGATGGCTCAGCTGTCACCTCCGTCATCACCTCCGTCGTCAGCGAGGCTTCCAGCGCTGCCTCCAGCGCCGCCTCTGGCCTCGAGAGCGTCACCTCTTCCCTCGCCTCTGAGGTTAGCTCTGCTATCAGCTCTGCTAGCGGTGCTCTCGCTTCCGCCAGCTCAAGCATTGCCTCCGAGCTTGCTTCCATCACCGAGTCCGCCGGCAGCGCTGCTTCGTCCGCTACCGACTCCGCTGGCTCTGCCCTTGCCTCTGCCACCGACGCTGCTGGCTCCGCTGCCTCCTCCGTCGTTGATGGCGCCGCTGCCAAGGCCACTGGCATGCCCATCCTCGCTGGTGCCGGTATCGCCGCATGGCTCCTCCTCTAAGCGTCTCACCTTCACGTCACAACCAAGGTCCTCGCTCGATGGAGTAATGTGTATAATGACTGGTAGCATCGGGTCGGTAATGCGAGGCGGGCTTTGGATACGTGGATGCATGGCGCAGCTTTCTCTTCTTTCCTAACGAACACTCACGCGAAGGCATAATGATAATGACGGATTCATTGTGCCTGGGCAGTCTTTTATGACTGTGATTGATACCCCGACATGGGAAATGGATGGGCCATTAGCATTGGCTCCTGTAGATAGTAACTCAATGATAATCTCTCACGACATTACTCTTTCCACCTTGACTGTGTTGACACTTACTGATCTTTGTCCTGTTTGCCCTCGTGTCACCGCCCCCGGGACAACTGTGTAGCCAACTCTGTCCTGCCGTGAAGCACTCGCCATGAACACGTTGCCCAAACCCACACCGTGTTGAGCTACACAGCTCACGCCAAGCATACGTGGCACACTGTCACAGCAGCAATTGGCGCAAGTCACGCCATGACCACAATGGCAAGTAAACGAGTCGACAAGTTAAGTCAATCGCGCAACTCAAGACATGAAGTCAACTTAACCTCCAGCCTCAACCTCCACTTTTATCCTTTTCCGCCCCAGCAGATCATCAGCATCAGCCTCAGCCCTGTGGGGGCGCATTTCTTCTCCCACACGCTCCGCGGCCCCATATATGAGTGGTTTGTGCGTCTGTCGTGCTTACCATACCAATACCAGCAGCTACTTCTTTTTTGGTGGGAACTGCTGACGCGTATATACCGGCCGGGTGCAGATCGTGTGTATCAGATTGGGGTGATCAGGAGTGGTGTTGTGGGGACTAACGGGTAAGGCACGAAGCGGATGTAGAGCAGGGACCATGTGTTTACGCTGTTTACGACAACGGTGCAGAACGGTGCGGAACGGTGTCAGTGCATACATAGGCGGGTGTGGATGCGGGTACTGGGTTGAGGTCCGCGGAAGATGGGGATGACGGTGGTGGTGGGATGGGTAGGCTGGTGGGAGGGATGGTGCGTGAGGTGGCTGGCTGGGCATGGGCGGTGGGAGGGGCCGCGGGCTTCCGGTGGGCACGTACGCAGCATTGCGCATGGACGTGCAATAGTATTATTGCAAATTTAATGTGTAATTGGTGTTCTAGGATCGAATTCTATATATGTCTTTGGTTTGGGGCGATGGATAGCTGCGTTGGTCGGAGCTTTGTCGTTGCCTGGATACCTGGTTCCTGCCTCATGGGAGCTGCGCTCAATAGTCCCGCCCTAGAACTGTCTACCTCAGGTTTTCTCTCGTGACGAAGCATGCTCTACTGTGCTCACTTCTTTTGGTCATTTCACAGCTCTACATCTAGGCGTTGCGAATGCGCCAGACCCAAGGTTTTGTTCATTGGCGATTCATTTGTTCAAGAGCCTCTGTGTTGGTAGCAGTGTACCTTAACGACGAACATCAGGCAGCGTTAAGAGGACAAACTCTGTTAATTTGTTAGCACAAATAGTAAGATGTCTTAAGACAGGTTTATTACTGCGCAGCGAAAGCGTAGTACGAGGGACATTACCCTCTCGCTAGACTTGGCCACCTACGTTGGGGAATGAAAGAAACGAAGCGTTCATAGGTACAAACATTCCATCACCCGACTATACCCCACTAACAAGCATTGCTTCGGGACACGAATCTCAACTACTTCTACTCCCAATCTAAGGCCTGTTCTGTGCGGACCGCACAGCAACTCACTACTAGAGATACAATCATGTCGACCGAAACCGAGAAGAATGACGCAAAGACGGAGTCGCTACTAGACGCGTCAACGCCAACGCTTGTGGACGCCGTCATTTCTGAGCCCGAGAAAGATGCAACTGCCGATGTGCACCTTGTTGAGAAGAAGCTAGAAGGGCTCGCAGTCGGATTAGTTACTACTAAAGTCCAAGCAACGGGGTCCACAGGTGATGATTCGGAATCTGCACAGGAACAGAAGCCTTCGATCTCGCATGTTAACGAAGACTCCACGACAGGCACTCAGCTCGGAAGCGGTGATCTCAAACCAGACTCTACGCAGGACTCGCAAAGCGAGTACCTCTTTCGACCACCCCAAACAATATTCAGCTCATTCCGTAGCACACACCAATCCCGTTCCTACGAGCAGAAGGAGTCCCGCCAACCCTCCAGACGCAAGTTCGAGAATAAGGATGATGTTCGCGATATTCACGATCGTAGCTATCGGAACATCCTAGATCCCCGTGGAGGTACACCAGAGCGCTTCATGACTATCACTGCCCAACAATTATACGGTTCCAACCCACCAAGTCTGGAAGAACTACGTGTTAGCGATTATGCTCTTGGTCTGATCAGGCCCTTATCGTTGGGTGATGCACCAAAGCAATCATTGACGGCCGGTACCTCACATCCTATCGACGATGACGAGCCAGTCGATGGGAGGCCAGCAACGCCTACAGGTCACGGCTTATCCGGTGGTGAAGTTTCCGCTAACTCCCTATCCAGTCTATCGGGAAAGTCAGCAGCTTTGTCACATTCGCGCTTGCCTAGCGTTCGGAAGGAGCCAGCTAGTGAACAGGCGGCTGAGCCAACCAGCTTGATAAGTGTCTCTGGCACTCCGATCAATCCATCGCCAGCGATGGGCGGACAGATGGATCTGGGAACATGTTCAACCGCAGGCGAGGTCTGGCAGAGACAGTGCAACCTTTGCCCCACTGTTCGTAGATTTCACTCAGCCGACGAGCTTCTGGCTGCAAGTGACCTATGCGAAGGATGCGAGGCAAAGAGGAAGACTTCATGTTAGCTCTGCAATCGTAGTGGCTAGCATGATGGAGTGTGGCTCAGGTGGACATCTGAGGATTGGAACTGGCAGGTGTAGTAATGTAGGAACGATGGTGGTGTACGGTGAGAGTCTCACGGATTCAAGCGACACGTTATCAAGAAAGTGAGTATTGATCCGATTTGATGAGACCAAAAAAGAACTGAATTGCATCGCGGGCCTGTTCGGCACTCCGCGTCATCTATATACCCAAACGCCCAGAACAAAGGAGACTCGTTAACCCAGCAGACCATTCACCAGTCTACCACTTCAACTTCTTGTCCTTGCCGATGAACTCATCAATGATATCCAAGTAGTACTCCTTCAGGTCCTCAACTTTGGGCACCTCGTCGCTCTTGCTGTAGAGATCATACGGGTTGAACGCCTTAACAGCATCCAGCATGCGCTCATCCTTGCCGTTCATCATCCACTTGTACGCACCACCCGTGTGCCACGGGTAGAAAGAGTGATACCTGATCATCGCGAGGCCCTCATCAGGGATACTGCTCTGCTCCTTCATGATATGGTAGAGGTACTCGTCGTGGCCCCAGCTCAACATGACATTGTCCATACCGCAGCCCGGCGTGTAGATGCCGTGCTCGGTGCTGTAGATGTCGTCCTTGTAGTCTGGGTTGTTCTTGAAGGTGTCCGGGTAGATGATCTTGGGGGAGTAGGCGCAGCCGACGGGGAATGTGTCGCCGACTACGTCCCATTGGCCCTGCGCGTCGAAGAAGAAGAGGAGCTTGCCTAGGTCGTGGATCAGGCCCACGAGCTGGAACCAGCGTGGCTTGCCGTCGCGGCGGATGGCTTCGGCGGATTGGAGGAGGTGCTCGATTTGCGAGAGCGAGGTGTCTGGGTCGGATTCGTCGATGAGCGTGTTGAGCTTCTCCATGGCTTCCCAGATGGTCATCTCGGCGCGTGTCTTGCTGTGGAAGGCGTTGCGCGCTTTGAGGTTGTAGGCGACGGTTTGCTTCTCGTGTTGCTCGCGGTAGAAGTTCTTGACGCGGTCGCATGCTTCTTCATATTGGCGGAATTGGGTCTTGTCCTTCTCGGCATCGAACTCGGATTGCTCGTAGATGTCCTTTTCCTTTTGGGTTGCGGTGCCGTTCTTGACCTTCATGGCGGCCTTGAGCACGTTGACGTCGTCGATGGCGTCGGAAGTCGCCTCGAGGGCAAGACCATCGCGGTGGTCGTTGAAGTTCTCGGCCACGTTGGGCGTCTCGAAGATGGCGCCGGGTGCCATGGTGTGAAAGGTAGTTGATAACGAAGAGGGGTATCTTAGAAGTATGCAAAGTACAACGAAGCGCTAGGCTATGATATGATGTTTGAAGAGGTAGATGAAGATTGAAGTTATGTGATAGATGTCTGAATACCGACAAGACGAGAGGAGTACTTATCCTTTCCGTACCTCGACACGACGCAGCATGGTATTGCCAGAACTAGCAAACATCATCACTTCCGAAGTAAGCCCAGCCTGAATTCCTGGAGTCAGATTTCTCATCGTCTCCATCTTTGAGATCCACTCGTGGAGGTCACTCCGCACTACGTAGGGCCGTCGTAGGCTCGAACAAAGATAAGTCTGCACCATGAGGCAATTCTCCCCGTTTTGGGAATCTGCCGTTGAGCAATCGGAGCGAGATCTGGGGTTCTGGAAAGGCGGCTAAGGGTCCAGTTTGGCATTCCGCCCGTAGTGGTTGGTTAGTTGCGTTAGATCTGCCGTGGTTCGGTGGGCATGCATCGTGCGCGTCTCTATGGGGTTGAAGGGTGCAACTTTCGCCGCTCGTGTCTCGGAACGGCAATTCTCGCCGCCCCAACAGCCGATGGATTTTTCACCTCGTCGTGAACACTCGGAAGGCTGCAGTAGCCCGGAAAACGTGCTGCACTATGACGCCCCAGCTGGCTCCAACTCCAGCCCCTCCAAGCACGTGACGCTCGGTGCCACCTTCCCCGACCAACCCCACGAACACGTTGGCTTTCCTGGGCGTCGTCTCCTGCGAAAATTTCGCGTGAGGCTGAAGCGCGTCGAGCGCGTATCAGAAGCCTCCCCGGACCGAAGCTACGCCGGCGGGGGACGCATGGCGGGGCAGCATCGGTCCTCGGAATGAATTATAGAGTCAATCACGGTTGACTTATGTCCTGAGCCATGCCGGAAGCGTAACATTCAGCCACAATATGGAAGCTTCCAAGCAATGCGAGCAAGCCTGCCCCTGGCCTGGCCAGCAACACCCCACTGCTACTAATACCCAAGTAAAGCCGGAGTCGCGATGAATCCCGCCCTCTCCAAGTTTATGCTCAAGAGTACACCCAAGAGTATCCTCAACCCACAGCCCGAGATGAATACCGCTATCCCTCTCAACACTGGCGCGACCATCCCCGCCCTGGGTTTGGGAACGTGGCAGTCTGCGCCTGGTGAGGTGAAGAAAGCTGTCGTCCACGCCATTGAAAGTGGTTACAGACACATTGACTGCGCCTTCTGCTACCAAAACGAGGATGAAGTCGGCGAGGCGCTTCAGGATGTTATCTCGCGCGGAATCGTGAAGAGAGAGGACTTGTTCATTACCAGCAAGCTCTGGTGCACATTCCACACTCGCGCTGAGGAGGGTCTGCAAAAGAGCTTGGACATGCTCAAGACACCTTATGTCGATCTCTACCTCATGCACTGGCCTGTTCCCATGAACCCCAAGGGTAAATCTAATGTCTTCAAACAAGACGAAAACACAGCTAACAAACGCGCAGGAAACCACCCCCTCTTCCCCAAGCACGAGGACGGCTCGCGAGACATTGACACCTCCATCACCCACCAAGACACATGGAAGAACCTCGAGAAGTTGATCCAATCACACCCTGACAAGGTCAAGGCCATCGGTGTCGCCAACTACTCCGTCAAGTACATGGAGAAGCTCCTGAAAATCGCTACCATCGTCCCCGCTGTCAACCAGATCGAGAACCACCCACTATGCCCACAACAAGAAGTCGTCGACTTCTGCAAGGAGAAGGGCATCCACATCACAGCCTACAGTCCGCTCGGAAGCACAGGCTCACCACTCTTCAAGGACGAGGGCGTCAACGAAGTCGCAAAGAAGCACAGCGTCGGCCCTGCCGTTGTACTACTGAGCTACCACCGTAAGTCTCACCCACCCAACTCCTCAAACCCACGTTACTAACTCATCACAAAGTCGCCCGCAACTCCTCCGTCCTCGCAAAGTCCGTCACCCCATCCCGCATCGACGAGAACAAGAAGCTCATCTCCCTTGATGACGAGGACATGCAGAAGCTGGAGAAGATTCACAAGGAGAAGGGCATTACCCGCTATGTATACCCGCCGTTTGGCGTCAACGCTGGGTTCCCGGATAAGCCCGAGGGCATGGATCTCAGCGGACCTTGACTGCTCGGGGCAAGCAAGTTGTAGGTTGTGCATGTAGGATAGGAACAAAAATCTATACCCAACAAGACATTGGAATTCGCTGAAGATGTCTCACTCAAACTCAGTGCTTCAGAGAACTAGGGAATCACAATGCCTTGAGACGGTTCGTGTGATGAGATGAGAAGTCAAGACAACAAATCCCTTGATCCAAAACTATGTTGCTTGTTCATGCAAGTTGCTCAAGAAAAACGTGCCATTAAAACCTGTCCATCCATCCACTCCCACCAACCTATCTACCAACCTACCTACCCATCCACCCCCCATCAACAGTAAGCACCTCCCCACTAACATACGCACTCGCCGCGCTCCCCAAAAACACCACCGCGCCCTTAAAATCCTCCGGGCTCCCCCACCTCCCCGCCGGAATGCGACTCAGAATACTCTCCGCCCTCTTCTCATCCTTAATCAACGCCTCATTCATATCCGTCGCAATATACCCCGGCGCAATCGCATTAACACTAACCCCCTTACCCGCCCACTCATTCGACAGCGCCTTAGTCAACTGTCCCACACCCCCTTTACTCGCCGCATACGCCGGCACCGTAATACCACCCTGGAAGGTTAGCAGGGACGCAACGTTTATGATGCTTCCGCGGCGGCCTAAGGGCAGGTCCGCGGGCTGAGATAGCATGTGTGCGCCTACGTCGCGGCAGAGTTGGAAGACGGAGGTCAGGTTTACTTGCAGGACGGCGTCCCAGTCTTCGTCGGGGAATTGGTGCGCGGGATGCCGCTTTTGGATGCCGCCGCAGTTTAACAGGATGTGGATTCTGGGAAAGTCGGCTAGGATGGTGGGGATCAGGGCGGTGATGGAGGTCTTGGAGGAGAGGTCTGCGGTGTAGATTGTGGCTTTGCGGCCGAGGGATTCGATCGCTTGTTTTGTGGTTTGGTTGCTGGTGTCGCGCTGGGGGGATGGTTGTTAGTGGGTGGAGGGGATGGGGAGAGAGGGGAGAGGGCGTACTTGGACGAGGAGGATGTCTGCTCCTGCTTCTGCGAGCGCGAGAGCCATGGATTGGCCAATGCCTCGTGTTCCGCCTGTTACGAGGGCGGTTTGGCCCTCGAGCGAGAAGAGCTGCTGTACGGATGCCATGTTGCTGTGTTGGTAGGCGCGGTTCGGAATGCTGTCGGAGAGGAATTAGAGCTGAGATAACGAGCAAAAGGTTATTTGGTGGTCTAAAAAGACAAGCAACTTGAACAAACAACTTCAGGAATCTAGCAAAAGGCAACCAAGAAGTTTGGAAGCCTGCGGCAGAAGTCGACGGCTTTTCCTTGCAGCGCAATGTTGGGGCAGCTCGGAACTGCCTCGGAAAGCCAACCCCACCACCCCAAACGAAGCGTCGGCATCTGATGTCCCGCCATTTCAAACGCCGAAGGTGGAATTTGTCTCCATCTGTTGCTGTACTATGAGGCAAGGCGCGCCGAGTGTCTGGCGCGTGATAGCTTCCCATGCCTTGCGAGATGAACTGATGCTCCAGCAACCTTCTCCCTCACTTCACAGCTTCAACCTTGCATTGCCGTTGAGCTGAACGTTACTATACCACGCGTGTTAAGCTTCACTTGTACA